AACCTTATAGAGGGTGGGCTGGGGAACATCTGCCTTGCCCCTTTTCTAAAGATGCGCTGGCCAAAGAAGTGTCTCCCAGTAAATGGGAAACTTGGGGAAAAGTGCGAAGTCACCACCAAGGCTTCCTACCGTCTGAGAGAACTGTAAGGAACAGAACACCCACTTAGCTGTCTGCACTGCCAAGGCTGGACGGTCTCCAGGAGAATCCCAGGGGTCTCTGACACCTTCAAAGGCCATGTAATTTGTGAATATAGTTTATTTCTGATTCCAAAGACCCAAAGGAGTGGGATTCTGATTTTCTAGGATCACCTCTTTCTGCCTCTGGCTGATTCAAAACTTTGAGAAAGAAGAAAAAAAAAAAAGTAAAATTGTATCTCTATTAATGTCAAAATTTATCCAAACCCCTTTGAAACTTTTAAATTAACATGTGGATTCCACATGTTCTTAGATAAGGACAAGGGAATGTCTAGGGCTTAACATACTAAACAAAGTTTATACTCTGTTCTGAGGGGCTTCTCTCTCCAATTCCCCTCCTCAGATAAGCAATTGTTTCAAGTTAGTTAATCTCACAAGATGCCCACAATAGAGCTCTTTCCTGTTAAGTTGTGGTAAGTCAAAACCTACTTCAGAGAATACAAAGTCACCACCCTGGGGGGCTAAGAAAAGATATGGGTTTTGTGTCTTTTTAGTTTCATGAAAAGAAAAAAAGAAAGAAAACCTCAGACTACTGATCTAGAAGCCACCTTTGTGTGTGTGTGTTTTATGCTGGGCTTAGTGTTTCATAAAGAAACAATGTCAGATCCTATTTTCAATGAGTACATTCAAAAGTTTGGGTTTTTGACAGTCTTTATGTTCCAATTAAGATAAGCAAACATAATACAAGCTTCCTTAAAGACCATTCATTGTGTTTTCTTGAACCAGTAGTCAAATCATAGTAAGCTACAAGACTATCTTCAGAAAACTCCCAAGGCATTTTGGTATAAGTCAGAGAGAGGTAGTATCACTACTAGTTGATGCCATCAGGCCACCTCAGAAGGCCCAATCCTCATCCCCACTTTCTCTTGCTTTGGAACGATCATCTAGAATGGTCCAGTTACAAAAACAAACAAAATGATCCAGCACGACCCTTGGGACTGGCATAATTAGTTGTTGAAGCCAAAAGAAGTAAAGAATGATTTTATAATGAGGGATTTTATGACGATGGCTGAAATACAGACCAGCAATCATTAAGAATCTGGCCATCCAAAGCAGATGTATGAATAGAATAGTTTCAGCAACAGTACCCCTATTCCAACATGGAACTTTGGTTTTGTTTATTAATTTACTTAACAGATATTTATTGACTAATTTCTAAATTACAGTTTTAGCTCTGGTGGTTCAGCAATTTCTCTTGACCCTTCTAACTCATTTTGTTATTTTTCAATGCTTTTATTTAGGATACATTTCTTTCTTATCTGTTGTCTCAAACTCCCATTTGAAAAGTCTACTCAAAGCTTGAATGGTCACACACATCTGTGAGGTGACACTATTAAAGGTTCACTGCTCTGAAAAACATACTTACATACCAAAGCTAAGAGACATTTGCCTTTTAATTAGCTATTTGGTCAGAAAATGTTTTATTAGTACTTAGTATATACTGGGCACTAGGTTAAGTGATCTGAATAGAGTATTAAACAGATAGGCAAGGGCTTCATTTTAGAACTTTCATTCCATTAGGCGAAGATTACAAAATTTTTAAAAGTAGTCAAAAATAATATATTCACAATTTCTGATTACTAAGAAAGAACCAAATTTCAATTAAATAATAATAAGGAACTCTACTTAGAATGACCTGAGCAGGTGGCATTTGAACTCCATGTGAGACACCTGGAGAGGAAACATTCCTGGCAAAGGAAATGGAGCCCAAGTAGGTGGAGCCAATAAGCTCAAATGTTTGTTTCTGCCTGGGGAATGAGAAAAGCAGCCAAAGCTGGCAGTTGTGGGGGATTTTGCTTGGTTTGGTTTGGCTTGGGTTGGGTTGAGTTGGGTTGTTTTTCCCTAGAGATACTTAAGCATATGTACATGTTTCTGGAAATGATTTCATAGAATGAGCTGGTTTGGGGATTCAGAGGGAAGAAAATGTTAAAGGAGCCAAGTAGGAATGAGAAATGTGAGTTTAGTTAACAAAGATTGTTCCATTCCATCACTGTAACACTGGAAGGTAGAGACCAAGCAGATGCAATTGGGACTGTGTTTGCTGTGGAAGGGAAGTTGCCATGGTGGGAGGTGGAGATGTGGTTGGTTTGCAAAAGGAGAAAATATGGTATGATGACCCAATGAGAAAAAAAAGCGTGCTTACTAGGAAGCTAAAGAAAAAGTTCTGGTCACTGTTGGATGACTATTTGAGATCTGCAAGCATTAAGATCAAACAGCGGTTCTCAACCAGGGATAATTTTATCTTGACCCACCTTCAGGGACATTTAGCAATGTTTGAAGGTAATGTTTTGGTTGTCACTTGGTGGATGAGGGAAGTGGAGGATGCTATTAGCATCTTGGAAATAGAAGGCAGGGATGCCGCCATTCCTACTACTTTGCACAGGATAGACCTCACAGCTAAGCATTACTCAGCTCAGCAGGTCAATAGAGCCAATACTGAGAAATGTTGTTGTAACATGAGGTCATATTTATGTATAGAACATCTAGAAGGCTACAACAGGAGATCATACTTCTCTCTTGTGGGGAGCAACTCGGACTAGACTAAGTTACTGGAATTAAGACTTATTCTATGCATCTGCTCTCCCACAATATGGCGCTGGGAGAGGAGTAAACAACTTCTACACAGCCGCCTCTCGCCAATTTGATTGACTGAGCTGCAGGAGCTGATCTTGCTCCTGATTGGAGGAGAGCAGCGTGCTCGGCGTGTGGGTAGCAGAGTTGGGATTGGTGGAAGAGGACTATAAAGGAGGAGAGAGACAACATGCACCAGGAACATCTAAGAGGAACATCAGGATAACATCTGAGCAGCCCCTGAGAGAGCCGGCCGGCGGTGTGCCGCTCCCCCGCGGAAGTGGGGAAAGTGGCAGGGGGAGTCGCCCTTCCACGGAGGTGGAAGAACAGCAGCCAACCCGGGAAGGGCCGAGCAGACAAAAGAACAGCGCAGGGTCTAGTGTCGTTCCTCCGCGAAGAGGGGGAGCGACACTCTCTGAAGGCAGAAATGAGGCCACAGGGTAAAGTGGAGAGAAGACTTAATTTCCATCCTATATCCTTGTATACCTTTTAATTTTTTTTACCACTTACGTGTATTACCTACTCAAATCCATCAAAAGATATAAAGAAATCAATGATAGATCAGTAACTTATTAAATAATTTAAATAGATGAGTAAAAATAAGATGAAAACACTCAGCCTGTTTAGGCAATTTTTCTCCAGCTACATCAGCTGCTGATTTGCCAGCTTAAAGAAAATACAACTTTTTAAAAAAGAATACAGTGGAGATTCCCTTTTATAAGAGATTATTTTGGAGTTAAGGGGCTTTTCAAGGCACTGGTTTTAATGACAAGGAAACCTAAGTTTCACAGAAAAGTGAGGATGAGGGAGGTGTGGGTGGATATATAAAAAATGATAGCTAATTAATTACACATCACAATAATGTTAAAATTTTAAGAAATAAAATGTTTGAATAATTGAGCTGGACCTGTAGAGGATGATGTTGTAAAGTTAAGACATCTGAAATCAAATTCCATAGGAATTATCGTGATTTCCAATGATAATACAACCTAGGGAAAATCCATTACTGTGAGTAGTTTAAGAAAATATGGTGCCAGTGTTGTAGTGTAGTGGGTAAATATACCACCTGTGATGCCAGCATTCCATATGGGTACCAGTTCATGTTCTTGGTACTCAACTTCAGACCTGGCTCCTGACTAATGGCCTGGAAGAAACAGCAGAAGATGACTCAAGTGTTTGGGCCCCTGCACCCATATGGGAGACCTGGATTAAGCTCCTGGCTTCTGGCTTCAGCCTAGCTGTTGCAGCCATCTGGGGAGTGAACAAGTGGATTGAAAAATCAATCTCTCTCTTTCTCTCTCTCTCTTTCTCCCTTTCTCTTGTTAACTCTGACTTTCAAATAAATAAATAAATTTATTTTTATATTTATATTTATTTATTTGAAAGAATTACAGAGAGAGGCAGAGAGAGAGAGAGGTCTTTCATCCGCTGTTTCACTCCCCAGATGGCCACAATGGCTGGAGCTGAGCCAATCTGATGTCAGGAACCAGGAGCTTGTGCTGGGTCTCCCATGCAGGTGCAGGGGCCCGAGCACTTGGGTCATGATCTACCGATTTCCCAGGTCATATCAGAGAGCTGGATTGGAAGAGGAGCAGCAGGACTAGAACCAGTGCCCATATGGGATGCCAGCGCTTCAGGCTGGTGCTTTAGCCTGCTGTGCCACAGCGCTGGCCCCAATAAATAAATCTTTTTTTAAAAATAGGAAAAGTCATTGCAAGCAACAAGTGTGGGAAGGTAAGAAACCAAGTGTTTGGATGGATCCCATAGATCAGTGACTTCTTCTAGAGAATACAGTATCTCTGATGAACTGGCTTATTAGAAATGCCATTTTTATGTCTTACTATGTTTCAGATACTCTCTGGATGCATCAGCCTTTTTTTTTTTTTGTCCAAGGAAGGTCCATAGGGAACACAGAAAGTGGAAGAGCAAAGATTCAAATCCAGGTTCTTTAGCCCAAAATCTGTGCCCCTTGCCCTATGTCACAGCCCCAGAATAAGGCAAGTGCCATCAAATCTGTGGAAAATTGGGTAAGCTCACCACTGACATTAACAGTGGTAAAGGAAACTCTGAATAATAATGAGTGGAGAGGAAAGAGAACGTAGAGAGAAAAGGAAGACCTGACCAAATGGAAAGATGCCTCACAGTTCTCACCCCAGTAAATTCTTCTCCAAGTGTTCTAAGTCCTGAAGAATGAAGAAATCATGGAGGAAAGAAATAATAAGCAACAAACTGAATTTTAGTGATTTCCAAAAACTGTATTCATATTTATCTATATTCTAAAGTAGGTTTACTCCATGTAATATTTCATTAAAATATACAGAATGGATATAAATATTGCTTATAAAGAAAAACATCAGCAGCAGCTGACCATCAGAGATTTTTGAGGACTATTAGAGTTGGTTGCCAAGAAGCATTCTACCACCAAATGCAACCCGTATTTTCCAAAAATGCACTTCATAATTTTCACACTCCATACATATTTGACTCCTCTCTTCCTCTCCCTCTTGCTCTCCCACATAGACACACACACACACACACACAAACACACACACACAAACACCCCTACCATTGCACTGGAAATACACATGCAGTGTAGGGAATGAGCTGAGTCCCCAAAAGACCCCTCTTGCTTGTCTGTTAGCATCACTTGGCAGCTCATGCTACTAATTTCGAAGTAAAGATGCTGCCAAGCAGGCATCAGACTCGTTCAGTCTCTTTAGCTTATCTTGCAAGTCCTTTTCCATCCCTTGCACACTCATGTAACAACCAAATACGTGAAATGCATCCTCTGCTGAGGTAGCAAGTAGACCCACCTCAAGAGGTGAGGTAAAAGGTATCTTTTAAAATGTGCTGAAATTCTCTTGGCCACTTAACATGAATGTAGAATGCCTGGTAGTGACCTTTCAATGCTTTTGATCTTCACATGACAGCCAGGAGTTCTATGTTCTTCAGTCATCTTCCTCCTCCTGCCTGGCCCATGGACCTTGGGTGAGACTTGGAACTGCAGACCTGCTGGACCCTGTGGTCTCCAGGTCCTCATGGTTCATGGCTTGACCTCAAGAGGGACCTAAGAAGACCCTCAGTCAAGACAACATTCTCGGTGCCTGTAACAGGAATTGTAATGGCATCCCAAAGTACTTTTTTTTTTATCAGAGCTTATATAAACCAAAGAATGTCTTTGATTCCTCAAAATTGACCAGTGATATCTCAGAGACATTGACATATACATGGTCGGCACTGGTGAGATTAAACACTGCCCCCAGGTAGCTGCTCCGGGCCCACATCTGGCCAGTAGTACAGTAGTTCATCATCTTCTCTTCCATCAGCATCAGATCCTGGTGATACTTAGAGTTTTTCATGTAGACTTTGTGGGTCAGTGGCTGGTTGCTGCAGGACTGGCCACGGAAGTACACTTTAGAATACACAAAGTACAGCCCAGTGTCATTGATCACAAGGTTGCCCTTCTTATACTTCAGTCCGGAAACCAGGGCAATTCCATAGGTGTCTTCCCATTCCAAAGGGTTGGACCTTGAGTTGGACTTGCCTAAAATAAACCAGAGAGGAGCTTTCAGCCAGCAGTACTCATGCATTGGAAAAACTAGGCTTGCAAGGTGAAACTGCGGAGTCATTAACAAATTTTCACCCAGTGACATAGCCTATACAGAGCTGGCTGAGGAGTCTGAACTCAATCCATCACTGAGCTCCATCAATGCTTTTGTTGAATGGCCTGCCTCAATCTTAGCATCCACACAACTGGGACAGTGATACACGTACCTAGTCGATCATGACGAGAAATTATCAAGTCCGTGTAACTCTTAGAAGCAAAGATTTTATTATCTTAAGTATTAGCATCAAAACTGCTAGGCTTTAGGTTTTTTCATTTGGAAAAGCCAAACCTAAGCCAAAATTCTAAAGTCTGGAAAGATTTCAGGGATTATCTGTCCATTTCTTACCTAAAGTAATGACTCTTCAGCCCCTCAATTTGGGCTAAAATTCGCTTTCTTCTGTGTCCTTATTCCCTTTTTCTATTATCAGAGAACTCTCTCTGTTACTGAAATTGCCACTAAGTGCTTGTCTTTTTCTATTTGATTTCAAGCTCCTTGAAGGCAGGAACTGTGTTACCCATCTGCATGCTCCCAAACCTTGGCACAAAGCAGGTGCTCAATAAATGTTGGCCCAACTGGGTCATTCCACAGTCTCTGCCTAAATAATTCTAGGGACCATGGCATTCCTCTTTCTGTGATATGTGCCCAATTTCCAGCTATTTATGAAGTTTACAGTGGGAATATCCATAACGTAATGTTGTTAAGTATTTCATTCCACCTCACACTCACAGGATTAAAGTTCACAAGTACAAGGACTGAGTCTCCTTTCCCAATCCTGTTTCTACTTGTGGACAAAGCAAATTGAAGCTCTCCCAGGAAACCAGGGAAGCACTGGCTAAAATAATTCCATACAGCCCACCTCCTAAGCTCTTTTCTCTTGGGTCTGTGTCACAAATCTCCTAGGGGTCTTTGGAATGACAGAAAAGGGGAGCCCTTTATGGGCAGAGGTTATATCATAATCAGCCCAACTGCAGCTTAGGACAAGGCTTATACCCCAAGTAGGGGTGAAAGAGTAACCTGAACAGAAAGGTGTGTGTTCTTGAGTTCTAAGTCTGTCACTGGAAGTGACAACTCCCTCCAAGCCTAGGGATGGAAAAGCCCACCTGCACCTTCCAAACCCCAATTGTACCATCCAAATACGAACCTGTTAAGTGGGCCACTTTCTTGGTATCCTTTTTTTCTTGAGGTGGACTTGGGTGAGCTGAATCATAGAGAAATAAAAATATATGTAAAAAAATACAGCAATTATTTTGTGGGAGTCTAATCACCACTACTTAAATGCATAACTGGCCACAGTCGATCATATGTTAATCATTGAAATACAAACTGTAAGACTCAACAGTAGTTTGTATTTCAGAAACATGCAAAAAGAGGAAAATTAGGCAGTTAGATAGATAGACATAAATTATGTTACCAAAGAACCTAAGTTAAATAAACATCAATTCATAAAGTACAGTCATATTGTGCCTACTTTTAGAATGCTTAAGAAATATTTTAGGTGGGAATTGTTGTCCTACCTCATACAAGAGGCCTTCAAAAATTCATAGAATATATGTATTATGAAAAAGCTATGCATGGATTTCAAAATAATTTTGCAGTACTGGTGTTGTGCCTTAGTGGGTAAACCACCCCCTAGGCACTCCGGCTTCCTGCTAATATGCACCCTGGGACACAGCAGGAGATGACTCAGGCAGTTGGGTTCCTGACACCTGTGTGGGAGACCTGGATTGAGTTCTGGGTTACTGAATTTAGCCCCTGTCTCAGGGCAGTTGTGGACATTTGGGGAGTGAGCCAGTGGATGGAAGTACTCTCTCTCTCTCACTCTATTTCTCCCTCTCAAATAAATAGATAAATAAAATATTTAAAAATATACAATAGTTTTCAAAATAGATATGATTTCTCTATCTTCAAATGTGTCAGCTAACTTGGAGAGGTGCCATTTAGCTAATGATTTCAATAAAGATTCATAGAAAGGGACCCAGCCGGTGTCGGTGTTGTGGCGCTGTGGGTTAACACCCTGGCCTGAAGTGCCAGCATCCCATATGGGCGCCAGTTGTAGTCCCGGCATCTCATATGGGCACCAGTTCTAGTCCCTGCTGCTCTTTTTCCAATCCAGCTCTCTGCTATGGCCTGGGAAAGCAGTAGAAGATGGCCCAAGTCCTTGGGCCCCTGCAACCACATGGGAGACCTGGAAGAAGCGCCTGGCTCCTGGCTTTCGGATCGGCGCAGCTCTGGCCGTTGCGGCCCTCTGGGGAGTGAACCATCGGATGGAACACCTCTCTCTCTCTCTCTCTGCCTCTCCTCTCTCTGTGTAACTCTGACTTTCAAATAAATAAATAATTCTTAAAAAAAAAAGAAAGGAACTCAGCCATCTCCTACTTTTGATTACCCTGAGAAACTCGCACATGGTTTGAGAATGGCCCAGGCAACCAAGGACATGACCTGAGCATCACGCTGTCTCTCACCATCCAAGACAACCCACCACGAATGAGGTGTCAGTGAACAGGAAAGGCAGAACTGAGTCTCTTCTCCATACCTACACCACAAACCATCGAGCAGCTGATCTGGCATTTGGCCAGGTACTGACAGGAAATGCACTTGTTAGTACCACATGTTGCACGTTTTATATCCTACACAGAACCTAGTAGAATGTTATTCTTCTCACTGAAGATAGACACTGAAAATATCTTTTGGATAAACACTGAAATAAAGAAACTGAAAAAAAAAAATGCCTTAGACATTGGGATGATTGTTTCCTGCCCCAGGGATATTTGCACTTGCCAGTGCTGGAATGCACCCCACCATCACCCACCCTCCTCCACGACACAGACACATCATTCCCCACTTGGTGGGCTCCTGATCTCTTGGGTGTCAGCACAAACAGCACCTCTGTAGAGGGGTTTTCCAGATTGCTCCATCTTGGGTCGCAGGTAGTACAATTTGAAATGATATTTTGTGTTTGCTTACTGTCATTCACCATTCTAGAAAGCTCCCTGAAGATAGCCCCCCTTCTTTCTCTCACTCTCAATCATCATCTACCACCCAAGCCCAGCCTGGCACATGGGAGGCCCTCCAAGAACACCAGTGGATAATTAACTAGTCAATCTACTTATAAAAAGGAAAACAAAACAAGTAATAAATAAGAAGGTATAAATAACCTATCACAGTACCTCTGGGAGAAAATCACTATTAACATGTCATTGTCTTTTAGTTCTTTTCTAAGAATATAAAAATATGAAAATATAATTGCACAGTCAGTATTAAACTGCCATAAACTATCATACACTTTCTGTAACTAATGATATAGAAAGCACAATCCTTGTAGCATTAAATGTTTTTCTGATACATGGCTTTAATTCAGCATTTTTTGCTTATCTGAATATACCATAATGTGCTTAACTAACATATAATGAGGTATTTAAGTTTCTTCTGAGTGTTTTATTTTAATAGCCTCATAATGAAGTGATGAACATCCTTATACAGAAGCCTTTGGGGGCCATAGCTCTGATTATTTTATTAAGATAAAATCTTAATGATGGGATTACAGGCTAAACGAACAATCTCAAGCTTTTGATACATATTTCCAAACTATTCTTCAGAAAAGTTAGGTCAATTTGTATTCACACTAGCTCAAACTAATGCTTAAAGGGGCACTTTCCTATCACAGCTTTGGTAGTCTGGATTTTTACTCTTTTTAATGTTTATTAAATGGATGCATGAAAATAAGTATCTTTTTTATAACTGGCATCTCTTATTAGTAAAGTTGTAAACTTGATAATTAGTAGTTGCTAATTTGATAATTCCCTAATTTCTGATCTGTCTGGGTTGATGCAGAGAAGATAAGAGTTTAGTGGGGTAGGTAGACCTGACTCATCTGTTCATTTAACTTTTAACCAATAAAACGCCTCCAGAGAGTGGGTGAGAGATGAGTAATGAGGTACCTGTTTCCCTAGCCACAGTCCCCTGATTTTCAAAGTGACATTAGAAGTCCTCCAGAGGCTGCGTTTTTCTAAAAAGTGTTTCCACTCTGTGCCCTTCCTGAGTTTCTACCACATCAGAACAAGGGGCCAGAGCATCTCAGTGATGGCTCCTACATGAGTTTATGCTCCAGGGAAGTCGCTGACCTGGGCCACCTGCAGTAGGCTATCCTGAGATTGAAACTGGCAGCACTTAATGGATGGCTAGCCCTGCCTGCTCTCTTCTTCCACATTTCTAAGGAAAAAAATTACCTACTGATTTTGCAGAAGTGTCCTGCTTTCCATTTCTTTCTCATCCCCTGGCAATTACAGTCAAGCAAGAGTTTCTGTCTTTCCATGAGGCACCAGTCCACATGCTAGAAAGTCCTGGAAGTGCCAAGGCAGCAGGAGCCTGCATCCCTTCTAGCCCCAGCGCCACCCAGTAGTCATGGGCACATCACCCAATCTGTCTGATGTTTTGTTTCTCTTCTGAGAAATGAAATGGGTGGAACTGATGATCTTTAAGATCCCTCTCAGTTCTAACCAAGTTTAAAAAGTCAATTAATCTTGGTTTAATACAAATGGAGCAAATCCTAAAATATACTTGTCCACAGTGTCTAAATCTATGCTCTGAAATTTAATGAAGCCAGAATTCAACACTTTTACCTTTTTCTTGTACTGGATTTCATACAAAGGACTTTCCTTTATTGTCAAAAACATCTCATAGGTAAAGTGGAATAATCCTTTGAATATGGGTTAAATCTTCTCCCAGGCCTCCCCATGACTTCAAAGGAACCATGCTATGTGAGAAATTGTCCACTTATCAAAAGCTTAGCTAAATCTTGTACAATGTCTTAAATGAAGCTTGACTCTTGAGTGATCTCTTTTCTGGAGTTGAGAAGAGGAGAGGACATTTCCCAGAAGTTTCTCTCTTTGCCCATACCTAACTAGGACTCCTGAGGAAGGAGATGGGCCTGCAACCAGCTGCCCAAATGGCAGGGCTCCAGGATTATGTATGTGTGTTTATCCCAAAGTCAAGTCAAAAGTATTTTGCATTGTGTGAAACACTCAGCTACACTGATTTTGAGCAGTGAAATTCACTTCATATTTTAAAAGATGCTCAAGAAACCACACTGACCAGGGGTTCAGAATTGTCCAAGACTCTTCTCATAATATTCACAAGCCCAGGAATGGGATAGGATTCAAGGTATCCCCCCAACAATGTTCAGTGCTAAGGATTATCTTTGGAAATTCAAATCACATGAATAAAAGGACTCACCTGTTTGCTTCTCCATAGATGATGATGCTGTGTGCCTTTGACTGAAGGACTACCGGAAGAAAGAGAAAAGATGTATGATAAATAGGAAGCTCTTTAATCAGTGGAGGAATTGCCAAATAAGCCAGCCCCCGAAAGAGATTCCAAACTCCTCAGAACCTTTCCTAACTCAGACTTTAGCCAAACAAGTTTGTCTCATTGTCCCTCAGTTTTGTCATTTGAAATGGTACCAGATTTTTTAAAATGTTTTCAAGGAAATTCAGTCTGGTCATTTGAATACATTCACTTCTAAGCAGACTCAAAGTTTTTTTATTTCTTGAATCACTAGATCTGAGGTCAGTGGCTTCACAGACTGACATGACAACTGAAAAAGGCAAAACCGTATGGCTCAGATTCTTTACAAGACAGAAAATACCTCTTCATTCATAGGACCCTCCATTTCTCTACCTATAGAATAGAACGACAAGAACAATCCCTTTCCAAGACAAACAGTAAAGCTTGAAAAGCACTTTGCAAGCAAGACAGTGGTCCGGGTAGACCCCAGGAGGCTCCATCCCACAGCAGCAGAGCCCTCCTCCCACCCCAGTGATTGCTGGACACAGCTTACCTCTCTGAGCTCGGCCAACTCCTTCTGCAGGTGGTAGAGCTGGAACATCCCCAGCCCCAATCCAACCAGGGCCACCAGGACCATGAAAAACATCAGAAGGAGGCAGAGGCCTGTGCTGTGGTCCTTCCTCTTCTTCAGGGGTGGTGGGGGCAGCGGGGGCAGTGGGGGCAGCGGGGGCAGTGGTGGTGGTGGTAGCGGTGGCGGCGGCGGTGGCAGTGGTGGTGGTGGCCTTCTTTGACCAGGCCTTTCAGGTACAGAGGATGGACAGGGGAGAACTGACCCTGGAGGGGCCCAGGGAGAGCTGGCAGTGCTGTCCACCCAGTAGATTTGGGGATATGGATAACTGAAGGGCTGCTGCATGGCAGCCAGGGACTCCCAAGGATTTTACTTCTCAGTCCTGTGGAGGCTGCAATGTCGAAGAAGGAACTCCTGCTGCTCACTGCTAAAGAGAGGAACAGCCAGCTCTCGCTTTATAGAGTTTCCACACCAAGGGAAACACCAATCAATCTCTCTCTCTCTCTCATCTTCTCTTGCTGGTTCTCAGAGAGACACCCACTCACCTTATATCTGCAGCTGAGAAGCCTCAAGAAGCTCAGAGCCAACCCCTGGAAGTTTCCGCCCACAACTTTCTGATGAAAGCCCCCGGAGCCACAGCTGCCGTGGCTGCGCTACCTGAAAAGGCAGGGAGCCGTGACCGCCTTCCTCGGGCCTGCAGAGCAGGGCAGCACTGGGCGCAGTGCTGGCGCAGGGAGAGTGGCGCTGAGCGGGGAGACTGGAGTCACTTGCAAGAGGAAATCATCCCCCTCCCGCATCCCTTCCCCACACCAAGCACTGTTTACCCGAACCCTGCAAATCACCATAATTTACAGATTAGACCCTGCCCCGCCCACTCTAGAGATTAGATCAGATATGCTTTGTGGATCTCACAGCCTAGCTCTGTTTTTACTTCTTGATGATTTGTTTCTCATTTGTAAAATCAAGACAGTCCACATTAAAATACCTATTTTCATTCTGTTGTAAATATTTTTAAGGCCATCTCCACAAATTCAGTCAGCTGGAGGTGAGGAGCAAGTGTCCCCAGGAATGAGACACAGGTGACCAGGTAGCCCAACCTCCACCCCCAAGGTCCCTCCACCCTGTACTGTGTTTCCCACACCACCTCACCTGTGAAATGGCTTTCTGGCCCCTGTAGGCAGCCCTGTTCATAGCTGCTGTTATGTTTACTAGAATTGCTTGAATTTCAGATCAACAAATAAGCTTCAGGGTATGTATGTCCTAAACAATGCAAGAGTTGTACTAAAATGTTATTCATTGTTTATCTGAAATTCAAATTTTAAAGGGTGTCCTTTTTTTAACTTTGTTTTTTGCTAAAGATGGCAACTGTGCCTGGGCTATGACCTCACCCTTTCTTTTGGTCTCAAATACCATTAATATGCCAATAACTTCCAAGTACTCAGCCTCACTCTTAATCATTCTCCCATAAAAACTGTATAAAATTTCCACAAATCTTCAATTTCTGTTCTTTTGAAGATGTCTACTTTTCAGTTTCATTAGTTTCTACATCACACTGTGAGATTTCTGTGACTGTCGTTCTGGCTCTCTCACATGGACCACGTCAATACCAAATGTACAAGGGGTTTTCAAGAAGTTCATGGAAAATGTGTACAATGAAAACTCTATTAATGAATTTCAAAATTGTATTGCATCAGAGAGTGGGGAAGGAGGGAGAGAGAGAGAGAGAAAGAGGAAGTTTTCATCTTCCAGATTCACTCCCAAGTGCCTACAATAGCTGGGACTGGGCATGGCTGAAGTCAGGAGTTGGGAACTCAATCCAAGTCTACCATATGGTGACAGGAACTGATGCAACAAGGACAGGAGCCTCAGCCACTTTAGGTTCTTGTTACCCTGTCTTCTTTCAAGAGAGGAGTTCAGTCTCCTTCCCTGTATTGTCCCCCCCCCCCCCCCCCCCATTCTTCCCCAGGTTTGGAAGCCAGTGGGCCAAACCTGAAGAACCAATAGGGAGAAACTCACCTCGGCCTACTTCCCCCAGCCCCACCCCAGCCCACCTAAGTTATAAACAGGCCCAGCCTGCTGGGGTCTGGGCTTCTGCCACGTGTTCCATCTGTGAGCTTGATGGCAGTTTGTCAACCTCTGTGAGTTTATTTTCTCTGAATAAATTTGGTCTGGCTGCGAGTTTGTACCCTGTCTCCTCTCTGTTCTGTGGCCCCCTTTTCCTTACATTTGGTGCCTTGTGTCAGGAGCCACCCATCTGCATTCTTTTCCTTACAGGAACCCACTCACTTGAGCCATCACTGCTACCTCTCAGGGACAGCATCAGCAGGCAGCTGCACTCAGGAGCTGGAGTCGAGTATTGGATCTGGTGGGGGACGTGAGTATCTAAATCAGTGTCTTAACTTCTAGGCCCATTGTCTGTCTTGCACCTAAATAAATTTATCTTTAAATTCCATTTTTTCAAGAACTTTCTGAAGTATCCTCATATTATTTTCACGCCACATTCTCTCCACACAACCCCCACTCCCAAAGCTACCCATTTCTGTCTTGTAACAGCTTCAACACCTCTTTTTTTCTCCTTCAATCTTGTAGGAGTCACCCAGGACTATTGATGTCACCTCAGACATTTTTTTCTTACCCTCCCGTAATGCACCCTCCCACTCTCATTTTCCTTCCTTTTTATTGCCTTAGATCATTATCATCTTCCACTTGAAATACTGCAATGGTGCCCTAACCAGTCCCTCTGTCACCAGACTTGTCCAAACCCAAGTCACCCTATAAAATGCTGCAAAAATAGTGTTTTTATCTTTTTCTCTTTTACAAATATTTTATGTATTTATGTACTTGTTTATTTATTTTTAGTTTTTAACAGATTCAATATACTTCATAGATACAATTCTAAGAATATAATGATATCCCCTTCTCTCCCCTCCCCCCTGCCCAAGACTGGTATTTTCAAAAACAAATCCAACGATCCTGTGTCCATGCCTAGAATCTTCTCTTGGAAGGTTTGATTCCAGGATCACCATCTCCCTAGCGTGCCCCAGTGCTCTGCACAGTTGGACTCAGCAGCTCTCACTGCCTCCTTCCAGGCACCCCTCCCCAGTCTGCACTTTCCACTCGGAAGCAGTATAACACAGAGACAGGGGTGACTGTGCACAGTGCTCCTACCATCATTTAGCATTGGTCAGAGTTAGTATACTTTTGAGTTCACATATGACTTTATTCGTAGTTATGAAAGATACTGAATTTAAAAATAATAATAATCAGAAAGTATCACTTTAAGGATTCTATCAGACAGCGGCCGGTGCTGTGGCATAGTAGACTAAGCCCCCACCTGTGGTGCCAGCATCCCATATGGGTGCCAGTTCATGCCCCAGCTGCTCCTCTTATGATCCATCTCTCTGCTTATGACCGGAAAAGCAGTGGAAGATGGCCCAATTGCTTGGACTCCTGCACTCACGTGGAGCACCCAAAAGAAGCTCCTGGCTTTGGATTGGCCCAATCCTGGCCTTTGTGGCCATTTAAGGAGTGAACCTGCAGATGGAAGACCTTCTCTCTGTCTCTGTCTCTCTCTCTCTCTCTCTGTAACTCTCAAATAAATAAAATCTTAAAAAATAATTATGCCATATGTACAACAAAAACCATAAAATATCCTAAAATAAGTAACAAAACTTGCATAAAACAGTACTTTTAAACTTCAAAATTGTACTGAAAATGGCAAAGATTCAATCAAATGGATTGAGAGAGTAGAAAAGTAGCATTGCATGATATTTGAGGAATAGGGTTTTGGTATTAAACTGTCTGCGTTCCAGTCCCAGTTCTTCTGGTCAGTAGCAGAGGGAACTGGACAGATCTCTTTCCCTCCTCTGTGTCACAGTTTTCTCATCTCAAAGTAGTAAGTACTTCATAGGGATTTGTGAGGATTAAATGAATCAGAGTCTTTGATATTCCTAACATCAAAGTAAGCATTCTACAGAGGTTGTTGTTGGTGTTGTAAATTTAGCAAATCATTCGCAAATTATTCACCTAGAGTCATTGTGATTGATTTTATTTCCTTAAGGAGAAACCAAAGGGAGAATGTGAGAGAGGTTGCAAAGAAAAGTGCAAGCTCAATGCTTGGCATCAATATTTCTCTGAATTCTGCTCTGCTGATGGCCTACTCCAATGCACGTTAGTACTTCCCTTCTCATCCATCTCAAACTGCCAATGAAATTGTTCAGGCTTCTTCGTAAGAATTATGCTGTATTCACATCTCTCTGTGCCCTGCTTCTTCTCCTGCTCCATCCTGCAATGTAAGGAGTCTGAAGCCTGTAGCAGCCCTAGACTCACCTGCTTCCCTCATTCACAGGGGGAGAAACTGAACTGAAAAAGACAGAGCATCCTTATACATGGGCATTGAGTTTGGCAATGCCACCAAGCATTGGCAGAATCACGCAAGAATAAACATTTGGTGAACAATAGTGAGGACCCACCACACATTGGGGTATTGCTAATGCCTTATTAATTGGGGCATATTATCATTCAAAGTAGATCTTAGCCTTGTGATTGCTGAAGAAAATCATACCAGCCTATGTTGGAGTACCAGTGTTCAAACCCCCCAGCTTTGCTCCTGACCCCAGCTTCCTGCTAATGGGCACTCTGGAAGTTCACAGGTGGTGGTTCAAGTACTTGGGACACTGACATTCACATGGGAGACCTGGAGTGAGTTCCCACCTTAAGCTTCAGCCTCAACCCAACCCCAGCTGTTGTGGGCATTTGGGAAGTGAACCAATAAATGGGAGCTGTCTCTCTCTTCCTCTTGCCTACCTCTAACTCTCCAATACATATATAGGTAAGTGTTGTAAGATAGAGGAGGGTGTCCTAGCAGGTGTTCTTGTGGGGACTTGATTCATCTGACTATAGCAGAGCTCCGGAGGTGACTCCTCAGTAACAGAGTGCTACAAAATGAAAAGTAGCAGCCAAGAGCCTCACAAACCGAGAGAATCACAAGGGCAGCTGCTGAATAAGTAGGAAGGCCAACCTTGTTATTGCAGACGTGAGTGATGGCCTCAGGGCATTTCTAGCTGGAGTTTCTTTCCTCGAAAGTATGAAGTCGCATATTTAATTGCACTGAGTCCTTCCAGAATGAATGTCTGGAGCTTATCTGGTACCACCCCCAATCCCACGAGGAGGACCATCTTAGCCCATGTCTTTTCTCTACTTGGTGTTATCCACCTTTCCAACGTTTGCCAAGCATCATGGCAACATTATCTTACTGTCCATTCATTTTCTCTATTCTGATGGCCACAAATTTGTTGGAGATTCAAGCTACCCTTCCCCTGCCCCCATTTTTCCCCTGCAAACAAGAATGATGAGTTGAACACTGTTAGTGACAATGTGAAAAATCATTGTTAAATAAGGCTATCAGTTTACATCAAAAGAAAATTTCTCTTGTACACATTCTGTTGGCTTCCATGTGGTTATATCCAGTCTGTGACAGACCAGTGGGCATTTGGTGAACATGCTTGTGTGTCGGTATAATGTCTCCTTTTCCCGGGAAATTTATAGGAGAGGTGAAGATAGCATATCTGAAAGGAAGGGGGTAAGGCTGGTAAGTTTCTGTTCAGAAACTATTCCCTGGGGTCCCTGGATCTAGGGCTCAGAACTTCAGGGGAATTACGGGCCACTACTTGCGCTTCTTTCTGGTATGGGACTTGTCAAAGCTCTGCCACATGGCAGGCCCCA